CGCCGCCATGTGGCCTGCCTGCGAGAGGCCGAGAGTGCCGAGCCGGCAGGCAAAGGGTGCAAATGCGGGCCTGGAGCTGGGACGCAGTCTACAAGGTGGCGTCACTATGTGGAGTGATAGCTTTAATCAAAGACGCTCTGTTGAGACGGTTGCCACCAAGGAGCCTTCCCCTTGGACTGCTTAGGACAGCCATCCGCGNNCAGATGTCAGACGAATCCAAGCGCGCGCGTGTCGTGGAGCGACCAGAGAAGGCAACTATCAAGGCCTTCGTCAACAGCCCAGGTCCCTTTGCTCTAGCAAGCCCGTCCTTTCTGGTCGTGAGTGGAGCGCAAGGAACCGGAAAGACCACCATGCTTAAGAGCCTATTCGCAGAGTATCACGACGACAGGCGATGGGTGCTGCCCGTGAGTAAAGACATCGACCCGGGCGGCAAACTGGATCTCACGGAGGTAGTGCGGCAGGCGTTGAGAACGCAGAACCTGCCGCAGTTCCTGCCAAGTTTCCAGTTGATCACGACCATGCTGAGGACCCTGAGCGAGAAGTGCAGTCGCGAAAGTGGCGGTCCCCTCATCGTCTACCTGCAGCTGTCCACCAAAACGCGGGGGGTCCCTTTCACCGATGACCAGTGCGACGCGTTAGCAACAGAGATCGGAGCCTTCGGCCGAAAGCTGACGTACGACTACCCCCTGTGCAAGCTGGTTGTGGAGCTCTCCGTGTCCCTCATTGCCGACAAGATCCAGGAGCGCTGCTGGGTCAAAATCGGGCGTCCAGGGTGCTGCCTAGGTGCTGTAACAGCGGCTAGATGGTAGTCGGGAGCGCCACGTAGTAGAGACCCTAGAGGACAAGTTCAACATCTGAGCTGGTGGTGGTGGACCCACTTCCTTTGAAGAGCGCCCTGGCTTTGTTGTGTAGCTTTTTTTGGTTTGCCTTTGTCTTTTGGAGTTGCCGTGTGGGCGAACGCAGGACCTTGCTGCCAAGTCGTGCAATAAGCCCGTGCCGAGGCTTCGTGGAGCTGGCCCTGGAGATTCCGGAGATTGCTGGATATCTCAAGATGGACGAGCTCGGCCGGGAGGAGATCCTTAAGTACTTTTACCTTCGCGCGAGCTGCAGCGGCTCCTGAAAAACGCGGCCAAGGCCAACGCCTCGGATGCGCAGGGCATCAAGGCCCAGATCGACAAGTGGTATGAGAAGAAGATCCAGCCCATCAAGGACGTGCTGGCAGAGACGGAGGAAGAGGAAGAGGAAGAGGAGGAGAGATGGCTGGAGAAGCTCTTCCGAGAATTCCGGGGCGAGAAGAAGCCCAAGAAGGAGCCGAAGTCCAAGTACCTGGACTACGTGACGAAGGTGGCCGAAGCAGGCCCAAAAGGCTACCTTAGCGGCGGTGATGCGCTGCTCTAGCAGCCTCAGAAGCTGCATGGGTTGCTGTCCATCTGTTGGATCTGACCTGCAACTCTGCTGCACCTACGGTGATACTTGTCGCACCTGATGGTGAACCTGTCAGACTGAAAGGATTCAGCGGGACCGCAGGCTACCGGCTGCGCCTGTCGGCACCTCTAGCTCCTCATCGTCGCTTTCCGGAACTTGCGCGATTGAAACTTGCAAAGGGCGGCAAGTCCAAATCAATCACTTTCTCTGCGCTGCGCAACGGAACCTGAAACTATTGAGCTCAACACCTCCAATTACTCTGGAGCACGGAACCGGTGGCTGGATCAAGATTGATGCAATCAACGTCTGATCTTAGTGCACTGAAAAAACGTCTCTAGGGTAAAATCAAGGCTTCTCAAAATTAGAAGGCTTTTCCGTTGCGTGCACGAAATTTGAAGATTCTGATCAATGCAATTGCTCGAACAGAATTGCTGGAACAGATTTCGGCACTGTAGCTTGGAATTCTCCTTCTACTCACTTAACAAGAGCTTAAAGGGGGCTAGAGAGGGCTTAAGGAGGAGTTAAGGGTGTTTTAATATGATCTTTTGAAACGAAATGGGGGGGACTCCGCCCCCTCCAACCCCCCACGGGGCGGGCTGCGCCCCCCTCGACCTCCCGCTTTGTTTAAAAAAAACCACAGACCGCTAAGTCCCCTTTTTACCCCTTAAGTCCCCCTAAAAACTTCCCTGAAGCCCTCCCTCAAGCTTCCCCATCAAAGAGCGTGAATTTTCATAAAAACATTATCTATTTTTTTCTTTTAACTCTCTAAAAGCCGCCCTTTATCTCTCTTCTAATTTTCTTCTTAAAGTAGGCTGAAGAGAAGCTTCAAGGGCTTCAAGGAAGGCTTCAAGAGCTCCAAGGGCTTGAACGGAGGCTTGAAGGGCTTGAAGGAAGAGCTTCGAAGAGTAAGCTGAAGGGGGCTTTGAAGGCTTCGAAGAGGTGGCTGAAGGGGGGCTTCAAGGGCTTGAAGAGGGACTTGAAGGGGGACTTGAGAAGGGACTTGAAGGGAGACTTGAGAAGGAGCTTCAAGGCGGACTTGAGAAGGAAGGAACTTGAATTCTTCAAGAAGGCCTGTGAAGGGGCTTCAGAAGGGACAGAGAGGGACTTGAGAGAAGCGAGGCTTGAACAACGCTCTCTGAGGCACTTAGACGCAAACGAGCAAACATCTGGCCAGTATGCAACTGCTTAAGCCAGCTGCTCTTTGTGCTTGTGTGAAGAATGAACTCGAAACTTTTCTGGCTCCTATTTGGCAAAGTATAATCTCTTTGAATTTTGCGAAGAAAGCTTAAGAAGGGACTTCTCACAATGAATTAATTGAAGGGAGCTTAAAGAAGGCTTGAAAAGGACTTGTCTCCTTCAAGGGCTTGAAGGGAGCTTAAGGGAGGCTAAAAGGATGGCTTAAGAAGGGTTTAAGGGGGCAGGGGCGCTTAAAGGGGGGTTTAGGGGG